AATATCTCCTGAGTGAATGGAGATATTTGAATTTGGTTGAATAAATACATAAGTAAATGTGTGAATGAATCGTTTAGCAGAAGGGCTAAAACTGATTCTCATTGAGTTAGGTGTCTACCCCTAGTAGTAGTGCATAGTGTGACTGCCTCTCTAGCATCATATGGATTAAGAGTGGATGTATTTATTTTATTTTTTTTTGTCAAGAGTCTGGCTCTGTCACCTAGGCTGGAGTGCAGTGGCATGATCTGAGCTCACTGAAACCTCTGCCTCCTAGGTTCAAGTGATTCTCCTGCCTCAGGCTCCTAGGTGCCTGGGAGCCAGGCAGGCACCACCACACCTGGCTAATTTTTGTATTTTTAGTAGAGACGAGGTTTTAGCATGTTGGCCAGGCTGGTCTCGAACTCCTGACCTCAAGTGATTTGCCTGCCTTGGTCTCCCAAAGTGCTGGGATTACAGGTGTGAGCCACCACATACAGCAAGAGTAGAATATTAAGAGTGAATTAAAAAAAATCCAGATGCAGTTGCTCAAAGAAAAGAGATTTCTGAGCAGTTGAGCAATCGATATTCATCATATCATTCCCTCTTTCCCTTTTCTGTCACCAGTGCCTGTACACTAATATCTTGGAATAGGTTGGTTATATCTTCTACTTCCTTCTTTCAAAATGTTAATAATTCTTCTTTTGATATCAAATCGGTCTTTAATTTATTTATTGCCCATACCAACACATTGCTTGATGCTAATCTTCTTGCTCCCAGTATGACTCCCCATTACCCTGGATCTCATCAATATGGCTTTTATAGTCATTTCTTAAAACAACAACAAAAACACATGCTATTTTACTTTGTTTCTAATCAGACAGAAGCTGTTAAAACATTTATAATTTTTTCAACATAAATACTTTCTCCCAGTCAGACTTATGTTTTTATTCCTATTCCTTGTTGCCTATATCTGAACACATTTGGTTCATGTTTTCAGAGAATCTACAATCTCAGTTGAAAAATTCATTTTACAAATAAGCTCATCAAATCTTTTCATGAGACACATACAAGGGAAAGGGTTCTTTTTGTTAAGTCCTAGAGAGGTTACCCAAACAGAGCAAAAGTTCAGCATAACTATCTCTGGACTCTGGGTCTTATACTCTGGATCTGAAATCCTCCTTTATGCCAACCTATTCTTCAGTGTATCCAATGCCCTTTCTCTCTTGTCTTTCAAACACCACTCTGTCCTTCTATGCAGCTGAGCTCTAACTCTATAGAATTTGTCTGATTATGTAGCATTCACAGAACTCCAAATATAGGTAAAATTACTAGTTACATCATGCACTTCCATATTTCTTTTTAATGCTGCCCTTTGCAGTATTTTTTCAGATTTTATTTCAGGCCTCATGAGATTGTAAATATCTTAGGGACAGTGTTTCAGGAGAATTTTTGTGTTGCTTTTCTAAATATTTACATAAAACCTAGCAACATGCTAAGCATATAGTTAATTTTCCAGTTAAAATTGTTTGGTGGTTTTTGCTGAGCATTATTTAAGATCATAAATTTTAGATGAACCCATATCCAATTGTAGATTTAATTCAAGTGATTTTGGTAAAGGATTCTAATTGTTCTTGCATTTGAAGCAAAATTGGGTTCAGAGAACCAATAGAGATCTTAAAATATAGCCATGGTTTCATAGAATATGTAGATTTTTGGATTCTTTGTAAAACTAAAAGCTGGCTAGAAAAGTACCTACAAAGATAGAAAATGTATTTTTAGAAATGTTTTTTCCTGATGAAATTGTGTCAACAAGATTCAATGAGGATGCTCTGTTTAGTGTTAAAATTCAAGACCTACTGCTCAAATAGTTTTGTTTTATGAATAATTACAGAAGGGTATGGCTATTTTTAAAAGGGAGTGGTAATATGCAGCTCACTGGAGAAATTCAGGAAGAGCACAGCAGGAATCATCACCGAAGAACATCTCAATTTTTAAAACATGTAATAGTTCATGTTATAGACTAAATATTATCCATTACGTAGATTGCTGGTACCATCTAACATTTATATAAAATTGTTTAAATGCAAAGGAAATCTTTCAATATACTTCTTGTAATTACTAGGCCTTACATTATACATTTTGTATTTTGGAGGGCAAGAATTTGACTGGGGAATGCAGGTTGGATAACAGATGTACAAACTTGCATTTGTGACGCTTGGATGAACTTAAGCCAGTGCCTTCAATTCCAAAGCTATTCTGTATTTTTTTATTGAAAGTGTCTCTCCATCCTCCTGGCACCTACGTTAGGTATTTCTCCTAATGTTATCCCTCCCCAATCTCCCCAACCCCTGTTATACCTCCCCTAGCCCCCTACCCTACAACAGACCCCAGCATGTGATGTTCCCCTCCCTGTGTCCATGTGTTCTCATTGTTCAACAACCACTTATGAGTGAGAGCATGTGGTGTTTGGTTTTCTGTTCTTCTCTCCATTTACTGAGAATGATGGTTTCCAGATTCATCCATGTCCCTACAAAAGACATGAACTCATCATTTTTTATAGCTGCATAGTATTCCATGGTGTGTATATGTGCCACATTTTCCCTGTCCAGTCTATCATTGATGAGCATTTGGATTAGTTCCAGGTCTTTGCTATTGTAAATGGTGCGACTATGAACATACACGTGCATGTGTCTTTATAATAGGACGATTTATAATCCTTTGGGTATATACCCAGTAATGAGATTGCTGGGTCAAATGGAATTTCTATTTCTAGATTCCAGAGTCTAGAATCACCACACTGTCTTCCACAATGGTTGAACTAATTTATACTTCCACCAACAGTGTAAAAATATTCCTAATTATCCACATATTCTCCAACATCTGTCGTCTCCAGATTTTTAATGATCGCCATTCTAACTGGTGTGAGTTGGTATCTCAATGTGGTTTTGATTTGCATTTCTCTAATGACCAGTGATGATGAGTATTTTTTTCATATGTTTGTTGACCTCATGTATGTCTTCTTTTGAAAAGTGCCTGTTCATATCCTTCCCCCACTTTTGAATGGGGTTGTTTTTTTCTTGTAAATCTATTTTAGTTCTTTGTAGATTCTGGATCTTCGCCCTTTGTCAGATGGGTAGATTGCAAAACTTTTTTCCCATTCTGTTGGTTGCCAGTTCATTCTAATGATTGTTTCTTTTGTTGTGCAGAAGCTCTTAAGTTTAATTAGGTCCCATTTGTCTATTTTGGCTTTTGTTGTCAATGCTTTTGGTGTTTTAGTCATGAAGTCCTTGCCTATACCTATGTCCTGAATGGTATTGCCTAGGTTTTCTCCTGGGATTTTTATGATGTTAGGTCTTATGTTTAAATCTTCAATCCATCTGGAATTAATTTTAGTGTAAGGTGTCAGGAAGGGATCCAGTTTCAGCTTTCTGCACATGGCTAGCCAGCTTTCCCAACACCGTTTATTAAACAGGGAATCCTTTCCCCATTGTTTGTTGTTGTCAGTTTTGTCAAAAATCAGATGGTTGTAGGTGTGTGGTGTTACTTCTGAGGCCTCTGTTCTGTTCCATTGGTTTATATCTCTGTTTTGGTGCCAGTACCATGCTGTTTTGATTACTGTAGCCCATGGCATGTGTGTAGCTATGCAACAATCCTGCAGGGTCTACGCATGTACCCCAGAACTTAAAGTAAAATATAAATAAAAATAAAAAAATAAGAAACTAAAATAAAAGATACAAGACACTGTAGGGAAGAAAAAAAAAGAACATCTCTCTTTCTTAATTTTGTATTAGTTGTCTAACTTTAAAAAATAATTATTAGAGTTTTTTTGTTTGTTTTTTTGTTTTGTTTTGTTTTGTTTTTTTTTTTTAAGACAAAACTCCTGGTTTTAGATAGAAGCAAATTCAATCCTCAGGTAAAGAAGACAACATAATATATTAACAATGTAATATAATGCTGGTGTTGCATCTTTTCATTATTTAAAAAATAATTTTAAAAATTTCTATTTGTATGATTTTAAGATAATTTAAATAAATCTAAAAGAGAATATCTTCTAAAAGATAATGCTAAAACCTGAAGTTATCTATTATAGGGACATTTAGAATGAATATATGAAGTCGAAACTGCTCATGTTAAAAATAGCACAAGCTTTCATTTATTTGAATTATATCTTCTAAAATATAATAGTTTCTTTCTTTAAATCCTCCTTGAATTATAACTTTCTACTGACATTTTCCTTTTTATCAGATGATAATTTTTTTGAGTTGAGCCTATGGTTTCACACATCCCTGAATATCCCATATTATCTTGTTCTAACTTATTATGAAATGGATAGTTTGTAAATCCTTGTTGAAATATTGTTATGTATGGCCCCTCCCCCTTAAAATCCACTTGTTCTCCATTGGGGGAAAAAAAGACAATGTGAACTTTCAATATCAGATAAAATTCATGAATAATTATTCTTTTGACAGAATCTTTTATAATGAGAAAAACTGAACATGTTTCTCATCCATTGAACAAATTCTCTAAATCTGCCTACTCCAATAAAAGGTAGAAAACCCTGACCTCTTCACAACGTGTTCAGTTGTTCTTATCTCACTAGTGTGGAAATGTTATCTTTAAATTTCTAATGGTTTTATGAGAGAAAATGTGGAGGAGAATTTTAGAAAGCAAAACATAAGGCTTGATTCTATAAAAAGCATTTATTGTATAAATTAAGTGCAGAATGTTAGAACTCATTTAAATGTGTATGGAACACAACAGTAGGTGCCATATAGTCTTTCATTCTTTTAACATGTATTTACACCCGTGAAAGGACCCATAGAAAATCTGACCAGTTTTCCATTTAAAACTGGACTTATTTTCAAATTAATAGTAGGGAAGTCATTTTCTTCAAATTATTTATGGTGTAAGAAATTGCAAGCCCTACCATTGGATAAGATTTGTGTTTATTCTATCCTATAGAGAACGTGATTGTTGCTAAAGTATTTTTCCCAGTTTTTGAGATACCGTTTCTTTTCCAGGCGTTTCCTGGAAACATTAACTCTGATGGTGTGGTCCGCCATGAATTACAGCATCCAATTATCGCCCGCTATGTGCGCATGGTGCCTCTGGATTGGAACGGAGAAGGCCGCATTGGGCTCAGAATTGAACTTTATGGCTGTTCTTACTGTGAGTACCACATTGTTTAAATTTGTGGCAGGTTTCGTTATCTTTATTTAAATAGTAAGCTGTTTTATTTTTAATTATATAACATTACTTGCTCTCTCTGACAACAAACTACCTTCTCATTGACATATATGTATGTACATATGTGTGTGTGTATATATATATATACATATAATAAAAGGTTGTTTTATTTCTATGTTATAACTGTATATTGTAAATACACACAGTAACTAAGAGACATGTCACTATGCCTTAATTATACTTTAGGTTGAAGATCTGGAAAGTTTTTTTGCTCAATAGACTAAAATTATAAAGCTTATTAATAAAATTGCCCGGTCTTATGAAATATTTAAAAAGGAGAAAACTATATTGTTTTCTATATATTTGGGTCTTTTTTTTCTGAGATGGAGTCTTGCTTTGTCACTCAGACTGGGGTGCAGTGGCACGATCTTGGTTCATTGCAACCTCCATCTCTCAGTCAAGCAATTCTCCTGCCGCAGCCTCCTAAGTAGCTGGGACTACAGGCATGTACCACCACGCCAGGCTAATTTTTGTATTTTTTTTTTAGTAGAGATGAGGTTTTACCACGTTGGCCAGGATGGTCTCGATCTCTTGACTTTGTGATCCACCCACCTTAGATTACCAAAGTGCTGTGATTACAGGCGTGAGCCACTGCCCCCAAGCTATTTGGGTCTTTATGATGTGTTTTCAAACATTTCGAAGAACTTCCTTCCAGTTTACCAAATGTCTCTTTTAAGTTATGCCTCTTCTTATATTAAAGCCAACCACTGGGTTTTAAAGTCAACGACGTTTTCTCAATCAAATGTAATTTATTTTTTCAAATCTATTTGGTCATCTAAAGAGATTATTATCCCTTAAACATATGTTAAATCTCTCTTGTTATTTCTTTAGTACATTAGGCATATAACTAAGGATTCCAACATCTGGATTTTAGGGGATTATAATTCTTCTATGTATTGTCTCTGCTCATTTTTGCCAATGGTACTTGTTTTCTCCTACTCCTCTTCCTCCCTCTTTTTCTTCTTACCCTCTTTGCCTGTCTGTCCTTTTTATCCTTATCCTTATGCTTATTCACATTCTTTACTGTGACCTCAATTTCGTTAAAATTTTATCTGTGGAACTTTGTTTGATGGTCAAGGTTGATGATAAATTCTTCTTGAGAGGATTTATCTTTGCTTATTCACTTCTGCGAAGGCAACACCAACACAGAACTGCTTTAAAGACTGCCTTCAGTTGTTGTGGTTGTTTCTTTTTGAGACTACTAGATAGTATAAATTTAATCTACGAACACATGACTTGCAAACATTGGCTTCAAAATATGAATTCCCTATAAAATATATTTTCCTCTTTCCCGGAAATTTTTCTTCCTGCTCTTACAATTGCCTGAGAGCAAGGCTGCTGGGTAGAACAAGGAGGGGAATTGGTTCCTCTATGTTTTGCAAAAAGTCTCTTATTAGCCCCTTTCCTACTCATTCCTATAAACCCACAGAAATGAGTTCACTCTAAGTAGAAATTTCAAATGTCCCTGTTAGAAAAGCTTTCTAAAATGCACTAGACACATAGTATTTTATGTTAAAGAATATATGTAGCTTTCACCTCTGTTTAAGTTTATTAACAGAAATTGGTAAAAATATTAGCTATAATAATGCCCAAATACTGTCTTATTAATTCACTGGCAACAGTGTTATGTGCAAACTACAAAAAAGGGGTTATGGAAATCATTGAAAAATTCTCAAATACTGTTTATTTGTTTGCCACTTTATTATAGCAGATGTTCACACACACTCTAGCTCTCAGCATAGAATCATGATGGGAAGGCCGGAACAAAATGTGATCTTTTTGTCACCATCACAAAGTTTGTTAAGAGCCATGTTTAGCTTTAGTAAACACATACATGCATATATATGTGGCATATATACATAAATGTATACACATACGTATATATACACACATACACATATGTGGATGTGACATCCTTCATGGAAACTATGATGTGTATGTGTAATTTAGAAATACATATATATGTATTTACTAAATACATACATACATATATATGACATCCTTTGTGGAAACTATAATGTATACACACACACACACACACATATATATACACATATATATATGACATCCTTCATGGAAACCATGATGATGTGTGTATGTATGTGTGTGTGTGTATACATTATAGTTTCCATGAAGGATGTCATGTATATGTATGTGTGTATGTATTTAGCGAATACATATATATGTATTAAATACACACACACACACACACACACACACATATGTGACATCCTTCATGGAAACTAAGATGTGTGTGTGTGTGTGTATATATATATGTATACACACATATTGTATGTATACACACATGTATATATGTATACATACACATAGTTTCCATGAAGAATATCACATATATATGTGTGTGTGTATGTGTGTGTATATATATATGCATATATTTGTGTGTGTATATATATATATGAATATATATACATGTGCATACACACACACACACACACACACACACACACAATGTGACATCCTTCACGGAAACTATAATGTGTATGTGCAATTCAGTAATATATATATATGTAGTTACTAAATACATATACACACACACACACACACACACGCACACACACATATGTGACATCCTTCATGGAAACTGTGATGGATGTGTATGTGCAATTTATTTTAACAGCAATTATTAATGAGCAGTTGTCATGTGTGATAAAATATATTAAATGGTAGCATTAACACAGTGGATGAGAAAGCCATGATCTTTGAGGGAGATGAAGTGGGACAAATAATTTAATAGAGTTAATCATAATAAAAATAGTAAACATTAAGATTTACCCAAAAGCACGTGGCCTGAGTGATAGATCTGAAAGGGAAACCAGGTAGTCTTGTGCCAAAGGTCACTAGCACTGTTCTGTTTTAATCCCAACAAAAGTAGCACCCACCTGGCCATCCACAGTTCAACAGAAACATTATATCAACACACCACAACCACTGATCAGGCTTTCCCCCAGTTACTGCAACTCCTTAAATGTAAACATTCACCTGATTTGTATCACCATAGATTCGTTCTTTTTTTAAAATAATTTCATACTGATGGAGTCATAAAAGATGCATTATTTTACACCTGACTTCTTTAGCTAAAAATCTTATTTCTGAGAATTATCCATGCTGATATTAGAGATATTAGTTTATTTTCCTCAATTTTATTCTATCATATGGATATTCTACAATCGCTTGTTTATTTCATGCTGATGAACATTCGAGTTATTTCTAGTTTTTGGCTATTTCTATAGAATTACCAACAAGGTTTCTGATGAGCATAGACCTGGGGGTGGTAATAATAAGCTAGCAAATACCTGTGTTCACCTTTGGCCAATAACAACACAAATTTTTCTAAATTGGTTATATCAATTTAAAGTCTCCAAGATAATAAACTAGAGATTCTGATGCTTACAAATTAAGATATTTAGTATTGCTTTAAAGTTTTAGCCACTCTGGTGAGTGTTTTTCTTATCTGATTTTAGTTTTAATGAGTTTTCTTCTGATTTTTAAAAAACGTGATGCTTATTTGTCATATGCATACCTTGTTTTTTTCAAGTGTTTGTTCAAGAATCTTGTTCATATTTCTATGGGTTCCCATTTATCTATCCATCAATCATCCACTTGATTGGTTTAAATAGTTTTTACAAGCAACTTTCTTTTTCATTCTCATTACAATCACTAGACACATATTTCATTTTTGAGGTGACTTTCTTCAACAATAGTAATTTTAAAGCAAACATTGTCAATGAGGTTACTTAAGAGTCCATAAGTGTGGACTTAAACTGTGACCACATATTCTATAATTGTTACAAGTAGATTTATAAAGTTGTGAGTTTGTGCCATCATGGGCTTTTCCAAGGAAAAATAACCGAAGCAAATCAGGAAGCCAGACTTTTCTACTGTATAAGCCCCTTTAGGGGGGAAATCACATAGCTTTGGGAAACTGTATTAACATTTATGATGTTAATACTTCCGGTGGAGTAAAATGGCAACATAAAATAAAATTAAAATTAAAAAAATAGCATTTCAGTTGGTTGTAGCAGGTTGGGTAATGGCCCCTCATAACATAAAGACTTCATTCTTGCAAGCTGTAAGCTTGTAAGTATTTGTAGATGTGACTAAATTAACCATCATGGCAGGGAGAGAAGATTTTACATTAGCCACGTGAACACTAAGTGCAATCGCATGTGTCATTATCAGAGGTAGCCAGGGGGAGATTTCACAGATGGGAAAGGAGGGGTGAATGTGAACACCTTGCATCCAGAGACTGGAGTGATATGGTGGTAAGCCAAGAAATGCTAGCAGTTACCAGGAATGGGAAAGCAAAGAGACAGACTTTCTCTGGAGGGAGTGTGATCTTGCTAACACACTGATTTCACTCAGTGACACTGATTTGGAACTTCCGACCTCCAAAGCTGTGAAAGAACACATTTCTGTTATTTTAAGCCATCAAGTTTGTGATAATCTGTTATAACAACATGAAACTAATACAAGAGTCAAGATATTTTAGAAAATAAGAGATAAAAATAGGCCTGAGCAATGTTCTCTGACAGAACTTTGTACAAAGATGTAGATGTTATTAGCATGCTCTAGCCACTATCTACATGTGGTTGCTAGCATGTGAAACGTAGCTAAGACAACTGTGGAACTAAATCTTTAATTTGATTTAATTTTTAATTCATTTGAATTCAAATTTAAATAATGTGACTACTGGCTACCATATTGGACAGTGCAGCTTAGAGGAAACAAAACATCTCACTATTTTTCTTTCATGTCTTTTTATAACATAAAGGGCCTAGACAAGTTACTTTTTAAATGTCAGTCTCTATTCTTTTTTCTTAGTTTGGAAAATAAAACTTTAATCATCCTAAAAACTGTCTTTACTGTCAAAAATATAATGACCAGTTGTCTTATTAACCACA